ATAACTACTCAAGCATATCATTCCCTAGAATGCAGTGTGTGAGGTCTTACCACAATAAGGAAAGACTCTTTAATTACAAATTATACATCTGCTATTTGAACCTGGTTGGAGAGACGCTAAGTTCACTCCTTCACTGGTTAGGACAGATGTACAGATGTAACAGGTGTGTCAGGTTTCCTAATAGCTCACACCTTTCCTATGTCCAACTAGATGACACAGTTTCCTGTTCGTGGTGCAGCTTTGTCTGAGGGTGTGTCAGGAGTCAGGAGTCCCAGGTTCCCATTCCAGGTAGTTCCAGAAAGGGCTTGGCCTTCATCATTCTGGGCCATGCTATCTTTATCAATGGGAGAAAGAGCTGAGTTTGATAGCTTTGAAATTCCCTTCCTTCTCTAAAACTTGATGTGCCTCTCAAGGAGAGAAAGGGAAATGGAGGTTCATAGGCAGGCATTCAAATACTTGTTCTAGTAACAAATATAATTGTTCCAATGAGCTGTGAATTTTTATGGCAAAGAATGTCAGGGGTTACGAAACCTGCAACATAATCAGAACAGAAAATATACTTCCTAGTCTCTTTGCCCAAATTCCACACCTGCATCATGATCCACTATGATTCAGTGGGCAACTGCTATGGATAGGTGTTTGATCCCAGGCATAATAAAAACATAGGAAAGAATCATTTACAGAAGGTTTGATACATGGCTGGCATTTTATAGTGCACAATTTAATTTCTCACAACAACTTTTTTTTTTTTGGTGTGGTAGTGGGCATGAACCCAGAGATATTCTATCACTAAGCTACATCCTTTATATGCTTTTATTTTTAGACAACGTCTCCCTAAGTTGCCCAGGCTGGCCTTGAACTTGCAATCCTCCTGCCTCAGCCTCCCAAGATGCTGGAATTACAGGTGTGTGCCACCATGCCCAGCTATCATCAACATTTTATAAATGAGGAAATAGAGGTTGTGAGACTCATTTCTCTGAGTTTAAAATAAGTGGATGTGTCTACTTGACTTTAAAGGACCTTCTTGCTTTGTGATTCAAAACAAGCTTAGATTTGATCACCTAGACCTTGAAAATCCCATCATTATCATATAAAACAGATGGCCAGAAAATGAGATGGCCCCTTGTGCACCTTAAGCATCATGAAGGTGCTCACAGAAGCACAAACTTACATATCCAAGACCCAGTACTTTCTTGGGGAACACTTACAATCTCAACTCTACACATCGTAGTTGTTAAGACACATTGTTTTCCTATGGAGACACCATGGGCCACTTTGGAACAAATAGCCAAGAACAAGAAAGTACCATAGAATACAATCACCATATCCCTTCCAGAGGGTAGGATTTGCTCTCAAGATAATTACAGGTATTTCCTCTCCATTGATGTAGATAAAGCTGGGGCTGCTGGCTCCCAAATAGACCAAATAAAAGCTCCCTGAGTGCTGAGCTAGGCTTGGAAATTCATTTTGAGTAGGAGGGAGTTTCCTTCCGGTAATTAAAAATGGTCATTAACACCATCACCTCAGAACCCACCATGTATTTATAAAGCACCTATTATGTACAGAGCATGATAGCTAGCCTGAATCATTCACTGAAGATGCCAAGTTCTTCTTTTCCTAACAGAATCATGAAGGTGAGTAAGGCTTTAATGACACCAGACAGGATCCAAAGGACCATTCAGAGTGTCTGTGTGGAGTAAAGTCATCTCTTGTGTCCATGCAGGACTGGTTCCAGGAACCCCCACTGATACAAAAACTGGTTAATGCTCAAGTCCCTTATATAAAATGGCATAAAATTTGCATATAACCTACACACAACTTTCATATAACCTACACACAACTACAGAAAGTCAATTGTACTAGACTCTTGTGAGTAAGTAGGCGAGGCAGCCTAGAGCAAGTGACAGAGGTGTCAGAGTCATAACTTAAAAGAGAGGGTGACAATTTGCTAGGAATTTGTAACAAAATACCCCAGACTGGGTGGTTTAAACTCTCACAGTTCTAGAGGCTGAAAGTCCAAGATCAAGGTACCAAAAAGACAAGATTCTCCCAAGGCCCCTCTCCTTGACTTGCTACCTTTTTTGTGTTACCATGTGGCCTTTTATCAGTACATATATGCCCCTGATGTCTCTTCTTATTCTTATATGAACACCATTTATATTGGATTAGGACCCCACCCTAATAACTTCATTTAGCCAAATTACCTCTCTGCAGGCCCTATCTACAAATACAGTCACATTCTAAAATACTAGGGGTTAGGATTATCAACATATACATTTGGGAGAGGGACACAATTCAGCACATAACATCAGTATTTGCCCTTCACAAAGTTATAGGCACCTAGCCCCAGTGTGTTCTAAAGTTCCTATTCTTCACAAAGTTGTCTCCCCACCCTCTACTCTAATTTAGTACTTTCACAGAGATGGTGGCTGGACCCACTTTTCTGGAGTATTATTACCATCTATACTTATTGGATTATATACACTTTTAAGCCTAGGAATTAGGAAGCAACTAGTTGGGCCAGGTGTGGTGGCACATACCTATAATCCCACTACCTTTGAAGGCTGAGGCAAGAGGATCCCAAGTTGAAGTCCAGCTTCAGCAACTTAGCTGTCTCAAAATTAGAAGTACAAAAAGTGGGGATGTAGCTCTGTGGTAGAGAGACCCTGGGTTCAAGTGTCGGTACCAACAACCAAAAAAAAAAAAGTGACTAATTGGTTTCAGGTGTAGTCTAGGCAGCTTTTAGCAAGGTACCAATCCTGCTCTTATTTACCAACTCTTCAGAATCAGAGAGGAAATTTGTAGTTGGTAGTGAACAAGGAAAGGTGAAAAGGAACAGAGGATAGAAGAATGTATAATATCTAGGTCCAGAAACATCTCTTCATGAGTCTGTTTCCATTTCTTGTAAGACATTTCCTGTATTTGAACACATCATATTAACAAGCCTAGATGCAGTCAAGATGGAGAAGAAACTTCTGCAAAAGAATCCTGGTTTCAATCAACACTCAATTTCATTTTCTCTGGCAGAACACCAGCCACACAAATCCACACAGAGACCCATGGGCTCTGGCTGACATTTCAAGCACTCTAGTTCCAGGTGTGTTTATGTAAATATTTGTTCAGTGAATTAAAAAAGCAGCATCTTACAGTTTAAACAGGGTCAATTCCCAAACCACCAGCTGTCTCTTTGATGAATTTTCTTTTTAGCTGTAGTCACAAGCAACCTTCTCTAACCCACCTATTCATTTAATAAATATTTATTGATGGGCTGGGGATGTGGCTCAAGCAGTAACCCGCTCGCCTGGCATGTGCAGGGTGCTGGGTTTGATCCTCAGCACCACATAAAAATAAAGATGTTGGGTCCACCGAAAACAGAAAAATAAATACTAAAAAAAAAAAATCTCTCTCTCTCTCTCTCTCTCAAAAAAAAAATAGATAGAATCTGTATATGGGGCAAAAATGGGAGTTCATAACCCACTTGAATCAAAGTGTGAAATATGATATATCAAGAAATTTGTAATGTTTTGAACAACCAACAATAAAAAATTTAAAAAAAAATAGATAGATAGATAGATAGATATCTTCCAAATATCAGGTTTGGATTTAATGGTGATAGTCAAAGCTTGGGAAGGAGACAGACAGATTCTAATAAATGGTACTTATTTCACACCTCTGTGCCAGGTGGTACCCCGTTTGTATTGTACAGTGAAGAAGCTAAGGCTCAAAAAAGTTCAAAACTAACATCAAGATGCTAGTTAATGGAGTATCAAGGCTAGAAGCTAAGTTACCTAACTTTCTGAATAATGCTTTGTACTATCCCAGGATCTCAACCTGGGACCCATGGACTGGATTTAAAAAAAAAAAAAAAAAATAAATTTTCACTTAATTTTCACTAATACCTAATTGAAATTTAATATTTCTTCAATTATGTATGCATGCAGAAGCCACAGCAGTATTAGCAGTTATCTATAACCTTGTCAGCAATAGAAATTTGATATTTTCTTTTATTACAGGTGTCACCTATATTTTGAAATATTGTTTACATTCTCTACTATTTCTAAATTATGATAGCTATTAGATTCAAAACTTTATAGACCTTATAATTTAATAATTCATTAATTTTAAAGCACATATTATATCATAAATTCTTTTTAATATTTTGACAAGTATATTGCAACTGGCTTCTTTTATAATCCTCTGCCTTTTATTTTACATTTTTAAAAGTATTGTTCTAAGAAAAGGTCCTTATTCTTCTCAGAACTACCCAAGGAATAGTGACACAAAATGGGTCAAAACCCTGCATTATAGCAATGGGCATATCCCATTGCTAGAGGCTTTCTGCTCATTGTGTCTTTGAGAAAGAAGCTAGGTTAGAATTTTGCTAATTAAAAGAAAATAAAGAGGAAAAGAATGAGCCCCAGTTCCACCAAAGACCCTTTATCCCCCTTTGCACTAATTTCCTGTTCAGCGCATGATCTAAATTCCCTCTTCCCACTGGTCCCAGGCCGCTGCCCCTTGAGCGCCCCTTGGTCTCACTGCCAGTGTGGATAAATGTCTCAGAACTGTGGACATCCATCAATCCAGGACCACCTGAGGCTGTGCACCAACTTCCAACTCGGAAGTGAGTCAACAGTGGAAGGCACCAGAAATTCCCATACACAGAGATCACGGATACCTCGGGGGAGGGAGAGGGTTCGGCTAAGAGTGACACCTCTGTTTTAACTGTCCCTCAGCCTCTCCGGTGTCCCGGAGATTCCAACACTGCAAGAAAGAAGCCAGAGTCCCAGGAGCTAAGTTCCAGACAAACGCAGCGCGAGCTGCTGTCCCGGGGATGGGGAAAGGAAGAGAGAAGCTGTGTGGAGGGTGGGGCAGCCGGGTCTGCGAACTCCCAGCTGATAGTGGGAAGTAAGGCCAACAACCAGCTCCAGGAGTGCCCTCTGTCCTTCCCCCCACGGAGAACCTGAGATCTGGAGATCAGAAGGTTGTGGGAAGCCTCTTACCAAAAGTGAACGAAGCCTTGGGCCACAGCGTTGGCGCTGCAAAAACTGCCGCTCCCTGCTGGGACTGAGCACCTCGGCTGGAGCCCCGCCTGGCCGCCTGGAGGCGGGGAGAGGGAGGCTCCCCCCAGGAAAAGAAAGGGCTCTCGGCAGCCACGCCTGGAACCGCAGCTGGGCACCCCGGAAGACCACACCCAGACTTTGAGGAAGAACTGAGGACAGAACCACCAGGGGGGTCTAGTCCACCCAGATTCTGCCAGCAGGGTGGCCTCGAGACACCTATCCCCCAGAGTGCCCAGGAGTGAGGCCCTGTCTGCGTTTGTCAGCAGAGAACACTAAGGCCACCTGACACTCCTGCCCCTGGGTGCCAACAGAGTTGCGCGATCCGGACTGGCAAAGGCAGAGGCATGGCACTGTGGATAGAGCCTTGGCAGTGTGCTGTGGGATCATCCCGTGTGCGCTGCATTTCTCACCTGGTTTTCACCACGAGAGCGAGAAACGGCTTTTCCTGCTCAGCTCAACGACTTTAGACTTTCGGTCAGAGTGTGAAGTCTGGGGTCAGATGGCTTCCAGCCACTGGCCACTACATCCTGTTCAGTTCCATTTTCTTGACTAGACATTTTCTTTTCGCTTTGTTCTACTTTTTTTGTTTATTTTGGTTTTGTAGTACTGGGATTTGAACCCAGGGGCGCCCTACCACTGAGCCATATACCCAGCGCTTTTTATTTTTTAATTTTTGGTCAATGACCCTCTCCAACTTGCAATCCTCCTGCCTCGGTCTCTGGAGTCACTGGGATTGCAAGTATGTACTATGGCGCCAGCTTGACTGAACGTTTCCAATGAACTGTTCTTTTTAGATGAGAGCAAAGTGTAGGTGAGCGGTTCTCCACTATATCAAATCCAATGAACACTTTTTATCATACAGTGTCCCAAAAGTCTTACTGCAGTTTTAAATTTTAATAACTTCGGAAGTGCCAAATGCTCAACTCCTTTTTAGCATTTAGCACTTCTGAAGACCCCTTGAAAGTTTAATTATGTTTCTTTTGCACTTTTTTGTGAATTTTAATAATTTTTAAACATTTCATTTCAATCTACAATTTTCTGTCTTCAGTCAGAAGAATTAATTACATCCATGGTAAAATCAACATGAACACCACAGCTACAAAAACAGACTGTAGACTCTTATTAGCAACTCAATTCCACCTGCAGGAAGCATTGCTTGGGTGGCATGACTTTATGCAGTGCTAAGCAACTCTAGTAAAGGAGCTCTGGGTTTTTCCAAGAAATCCACTCCTGGAAATTCCAGTATATTAAAACCCCACACAAATGCTTAATGTTTGTAATTATTTGAACTAAAACTGAATTTCTTTTTACAAACAAAAGCATTTTTTGCATACTTGAATGTTGGGGCAAAGGATGGGGACCAAAATTTCTTCAGGGCTTTTTATGGCACTGTCCCAGACACTTGGTCTCCAGGCTTCCCAACCTCTAAATGTCAATAAATTGTGTCCCCATTTGCTGACAAATGAAAATGCCCTTTCCTACATTTCTAAAATGCTTTATCCCACCTCCCAGTTCCACCATCCTCCCCATCTAAGTTAGGAAGCTCTGATTGGGATGGGCAGGATGCAGATAAAAGGAATTTCAGGAAATGTGTGCTTACTGGGTACTTTGAGATAGTGACTACAAATCAGATTCAGAATTAAGAAATGTGTCCTGAGCTGATCCCACTAGTTAGGGATTTCACATGTATTCATTCTATGGTTTTACCCAAGACACCTCCTTCTTCTACAAAAGACAATACTTCAAAAGAGAACAGAGGTTGTAATTTGCCCATCAGATAGTGAGGAAGACCATTGAGAATTTACTCATTCAGTAGTCATTCTTTTATTTGATGGATATTCTCTGAGTCCTTTCTGGCTCTGGATCAAACAAGCACTGTGTCTGCTATCTGTGCATACACTTGGAAAAAAATCAGACTTGATTTCTACCTATATGAAGTTTGTAAAGTAGTGAAAGTGCATTTAGGGAGGTAGGAAACTAAGAGAAGCAACATTAAAGGGTGGTAAGAGGACATGATAGGAGGTAGAACACAAGAGGAACCCATTCTTTTTTTTTATTTGTTCTTTTTAGATATACATTACAGTAGAGTGTACTTTGCCATATTATACATACATGGAGTAAAACTTATTCTAATTAGGATCCCATTCTTGTGGATGTACATGATGTGAAGTTACCCTGGTCATGTATTCATATACAAGAATAGGAAAGTTATGTCCAATTCATTCTACTATCTTTCCTTTTCCCCCTTTCTTCCCTCTATTCCCCTTTGTCTAATCCAATGGACTTCTGTTATTCCCCTTCCCACCCTCCCTTGTTGGAGGTTAGCATCCACATGTCAGAGAGAATATTTGGCCTTTGGTTTGGGGGAACTGTCTTACTTCACTTAGCATGGTATTCTCCAGTTCTATCAATTTACCAGCAAATGCTTTAGTTACATTCTTCTTTATGGTTGAGAAATATTTCTTTGTGTATACGTACCACAATTTCTTTATCATTCATCTGTTCTTGAATTAGAATGAGTTCCTCTTGCTAGGAAAATTGGAAATCCATATGTAGTAGAATGAAATTTCTACTACATATTTTACTCTTGCACTTTAGGAGTCTTTTTGAGGAATTCAGTTGAAGAAGGGAGCCTAGGTTGGTTCCATAGCTTGGCTATTGTGAATTGAGCTGCTATAAACATTGATGTCACTCTATCACTGTAGTATGCTGATTTTAAGTCCTTTGGGTATAAACCAAGGATCGGGATAACTGGGTCAAATGGTGATTCCATTCCAAGTTTTCTGAGGAAACTCCATACTGCTTTCCAGAGTGATTGCACCAATTTACATTCCCACCAGCAATGTATAAATGAACATTTTTCCCCACATCCTTGCCAACAGTTATTGTTATTTGTATTCTTGATGATTGCCATTCTGACTGGAGTGAGATGGAATTTCAGTGTGGTTTTAATTTGTATTTCTCTAATTACTAGTGATGTTGAACATTTTTTCATATATTCATTGACTAATTGTATTTCTTCTTCTATGAAGTATCTGTTTAGTTCCTCAGCCCATTTATTGATTGGGTTATTTGGGTATTTGGTGCTGAGTTTTTTGAATATCCTGGAGATTAATGCTCTATTTGAGGTGCATGTGGTAAAGATTTTCTCCCATTATATAGGCTCTATCTTCATGTTCTTGATTGTTTCCTTTTCTGTGAAGAAGTTTTTTAGTTTGATACCATCCCACTTATTGATTCTTGATTTTACTTCTTGTACTTTAGGAGTCTTGTTGAGGAATTCAGTTCCTAAGCTGACGTGATGGAGAGTTGGGCCTACTTTTTCTTCTGTTATGTGAAGGGTCTCTGGTCTAATGCCTAGGTCCTTGATCCACTTTGAGTTAAGTTTTGTGCAGGATGAGAGATAGAATTTCAATTTCATTCTACTACATAAGGATTTCCAATTTTCCTAGCAAGAGGAACACATTCTAATTCAAGAACATTCAGGAGATGTAAAAGCAAACCAACAGGCTCTTGGAAGACATGCAGATTCAGGGTAGGAAGGCCTGGCAACAGGAAGGGTCAGGAATAAAGAATGGAACAAAGAAAGAAGCCTCTATGTAACAAGAAAGGAGAGGTATGGGAGAAAGAGCATGGCAGAGAGGCTGATCCTACAAAGAGGCTGACTCTACCAGCATGTAGCTTTAAACAGTACCTGTTTGCTGTACATTCAGCAAGCCTCACTTCACTGCAGTCAAAGCTTCCTTGGGTAAGTGAGTAGCTAGAGAAGTGGCTTATACCCTGGCCTCAGCAAACTCTCCCTAGCTGGAACAGAAACCCAGCCAAGAAAACACAGTGTCATAGTTTGATTTTTTTTTTTTTTTTTTTTTTTTTTGTAAAGACTTGGTTCTGGGTCTGTATTAAACCTAGGGAGCACTTAACCACTGAGCCACATCCCCAGCCCTTTTTATGTTTTATTTTGAGACAGGGTCTCACTAAGTTACTTTAGACCTCGCTGAGTTGCTGAGGCTAGCCTCGAACTTGCAATCCTCCTGCCTCAGCCTTCCAAGTCATTAGGATGACTGGAATGTGCCACCATGCCTGGCTCTGTAGTGTGGATCTTAAATGTCCCCCAAAGGTCTACATGCTAAAGGCTTGATCAACAGTCAGTGGCATTATTAGAAGGTAGGGCCTAGAGGAAAGAACTTAGGTCATTGGATCTGTGCCCTCGAAAGGGATATGAAGCCCTGGCCCCTCCCACACACACTTCCTTTGCTTCCTGGCTGCTATGTGGTAAACAGGACTCTTCCTCTATGTGCTCCTGCCATGATGTACTATGCCATCACAGGCCCAAAGCAACAGCACCAAGAAGGCATGGACTAAAACCTCTGAAACCATGAACCAAAATAAATGTTTCCTTCTTATAACCTGATTGTCTCAGTTATTTTGTCACAGTGACGCACTATGACAGCTTCTGATGACAGCTGTTTGGAAGATGGGGATGAGCTTCTGTTCTGTACCAGGATCAAGTAGTATCAGAACCAGGAGAAAATGGGCAGTCATACAGAAGATAATGATTGTATTTTATGCCTGCCTTTTAAAAGGCAGCTCCAGTGCCTCCCAAATTGCTGTTTTCCTCAGAGCCAATCTGTTTATCAAATAATAACTAAAATCGCTGTGATCCTACAAGCCAGAGTTTCTTTGTATATCCTGTGTAATAGAAGATCAAGTTGTGTTTTAGACCAGAAGTACTAACATACATGGAGCTGTTTCACAGATACAAAGCACTCTGTATCAGTTAACATTCTTGGTTGCAAACAAGAAACCAGCTTTTCTACCTTAAGTAGAAAAGGAATATTAAATGACTCTTGGGTTTCCAGAACCATCAGGTAATGGTGGCAGGAAAAGTGGACCGGAATTGGGAGAGCCCTGGAGAATCAAAAAGCAGAAATCACAACACCATCTTTTAGCAGGAACAGACTGACTGCTCCCAGGATACTCCCACTGCCATCATAAATGACTCTAGAGTGAGTGACAGATATACCAAGGGAGTGAGAATTCAAGTCCTCAATGGGAAT